GAGAGAGAGAGAGAGTTGGGCGGCTGAGGAGGGCAGAATGTGTCGGTTGGTGGAGTTAGAGAGAGTGGGCGTGTTTGGGACAAGAGAGTAGGTTTAAAGATAGAGGGAAACCCTTCTTTACTGTTTTTTGGTTGTGGTGGAAAGGCAATTTGGTCAATTGCCCCTCAAGGACAGTGATGCGAGGGTGAGTATATGCTGTAAAAATCTAAAAGCTCGGATATCCAATTTCTTAAAAAAAATATCTGAAACATCTCATAAAAAGCTTTACTTTGATTGAGGAAATGGGTTTTAAATCTAGTTGAAACCACTCAAGAAGAGCCATTAGTTGTGTTTTGCCAGTGCCATTGATCTAGCACTAAGTTGGACAAATAGTCTGAACTGACCAAGATTCCTGTGTCCTTTACCTAAATTTTGTGATGAATTGGGGTTTCATTATTTGTAATCAACGAACTGCCGATAAAAAAGGTGTTTTTTTTGGCGAAGGCATTTTATGTATTGAATCGTGCTGGCTATCGACCAATACAGGAACAGGTTGAAACCAAAGGAGAAAGGCAGTGCAAATCAAAATAATGCCAATGTGAAGCACATATGACCATTCCAAAAGTTAAGAAATCACCTGTTCTGCATTGACTGGTACTAACATTTATCAATGAACACAATCAGTATAAACCTTAAGAAGCAGATTTCTTCCTGGTTATCAAGTGATCTCTGAAAGTGAGTTCATCGCATCCAAAAGTTTTCTGAAGTCGGTATCTGGTGAATGTTGTAACGTGAATATTTGAAAGTGAAAAGGAGTGGCACTCAAGGAATCCACCATTCACAGAAAGGGATGTGTATAAGGTTATACAAAGTATGTGAAGTATTATATTATGCAAATATCTGAAACACAAAAAGAAAAGGTCTGGTACCTGGTAGACAACGACAATTTTATTTATAGTAAACATTACAATGGTTGACTCTACCAATGAGTTGAAATTTAGTTATCTCCTGAAATCAGCAGAACTTCAAAATATCCTATTTCCTTTATCATAAAACAAATTTCTCAAAAGACACAAGATTTATCGAAGACTATTTCCATTGCAAAAAAAAAAGAATGAGTTCTTCATGCTCTGACAATCAGAGATGGAGTGGAAGAAGGGTGGACTACTATAATTCAATCAGAAATAAATAAGGTGTTACACAAGAAAAAAATATCGACCAGAGACCAGTTAATATGTAAAAAATGAGAAACAAATCGGCACTTGAAAGTGGCCGACCTATCGGGAGCAAGAGTGAGGAGTTGCAGAAGTAACTTCTTCCTAAAAACTCGTAATGTCTAATTCTCTCATTTGAGTGAGAGAAAGTATGTTAAAATTTAGAGAGAGAAAGTACCAAATTTTGTAGAGAGAAGAACTATCTTAAAATTTTAGATAGATTTTGAGATAGATAAATTATCTCCAATGTTAACTTTTAGAGGGAGAAAGTATATTAAAATTATATAAAGAGAAAGTATGTTAAACTTTTAGAGAGAGAAAGTACCAAATTTTTTTGAAGAGATAAACTATCTCAAAATTTTAGAGAGAGAAACTATCTCAAATTTTAAATTTTAGAGAGAAACTATTTTAGAGAGGCAAAATACATGCAAATTTTTAGAGAGCGAAACCATTTCAAAATTTTAGAGAGAGAAACAATATCATATTTTAATTTTTAGAGAGAGTACTTAAAAGTTTTAGAGATAGAAACTATCTCAAAAAATTATAGAGAGAGAAACTATATCAAGTCTCAAGTTTTAGAGAGATAAATTATTTTTAAAATTTTAGAGAGAAAATATTCTTAAAATTTTAGAGAGAAATTAGTCTAAATTTTAGAAAGAGAAACTACCAAAAAAAATTAGAGAGAGAAACATCTCGCTTGTTAGAGAGAGAAACTATCTCCAATTTTGAGTTTTAGAAAAAAACTATATTGAATTTTGAATTTTAGAGATAAAATATATTAAAATTTTACATATAGAAATTAAATCAAATTTTAGAGAGAGAAAAACTACCTAAAAATTTTAGAGATAGAAACTATCTCAAAATTTTTGAAGAGAGAAACTATCGTAAAATTTATGTTTTAGAGAGAGAAAGTATCTTAAAATTTTAGAAAGAAACTATTTATATGAAATTTTTAGAGAGAGAAACTATCGTAAAAAAATTTAGAGAGAATCTATATCAAATTTTAAGTTTTAGATAAAGAAAGTATCTCAAATTTTAAACTTTAGAGAGAGAAAGTATATTAAATTTTAGAGAGACTATACTATTTCAAAATTTTAGAGAGAGAAAATATCTCAAACTTGAAGGTTTAGAGAGAAAAAGCATATTAAAATTTAAGAAAATAACTACATCAAATTTTAGAGAGAGAAAGTTCATAAATTTTTTAAGAAAAAGAAACTATGACAAAATTTTTAGAGAGAAATTATATCAATTTTAGCTTTTAGAAGAGAAAGTATCTTAAATTTTGAAAGAAAGACTATATCATATTTTAGAGAGAGAAACTACTTAAAATTATTTAGAAAGAGAAACTATATCAAAATTATTGACGAGGGGAACTATCTCAAGTTTTAGGTTTTAAAGAGAGTATATTGCAATTTTAGAAAGAGAAACTATATTAAAATTTAGAAAGAGTATAACACCTAAAAATTTTAGAGAGAGAAATTATCTCAAAGTTTTTAGATAGACAATTTCAAATTTTAAATTTTGGATAGAAAGTATATTAAATTTTAAAAAGAGAAACCATATCAAATTTTAGAGAGAGAAATTATATCAAAATTTTTATAGATATACCATTCCAAAATTTGAGTTTTAGAAAGAGAAAGTATATAACAATTTTAGAGAAAAAAGTTTTATCAAGTTTTGTTACCAAACAATGGACATGGAAGTGATTGCAATGAATCCATGAATTTTATGTAATTTATCCAAACAAGAGATTTGAGGAATCCGTGATAAAAATCCTTGATATTGAAATCCATAGATTTTCTTAGATTTCAAATATCCAAGATTTCTAATTTCCTCCTATCCAAAGGAAGATAGGAGGAAAGTAATTTCGAGGTACCATCAACTCTCCATCTTTGACAGGAGAAACCACTCCATGTACAACTTTGGGGGATGGACGGCTGATTTTATGTCCAGTTTGCTGTTTGTAAATTAGCACTCTACCGGTGTTGCAGTACAATGACATGATAAAAATTAAGTTAGAAGATTACTTGGTCCTGTGGGAGTAATTGTTCATTTGGTCCCATGGGCGACGGACTTAGTCCTAGGCGTTTAATGAACATCTCATTGTGCTGGCAATGGGCCAAATGGATCAGCCCGGCCCTAAAAGAGTAGGGCATGGGCCTGGCCTGGGGGCTGGCTAGGGCCAGTGCCATCCTGGTTTGGCCCGACATTGCCTTCCCCTCTTTTTTTTTTCCCCTCATTTTTTCTCTAGTTTTTTTTGGCCTTGGGCCTAGGCGGGGCCCGGCTACGCCCATTGCCACCCTTATCTCAACTATCTACTCTTGAGAATGGATGGTTGATTTGTGCTCAATATACCTTTTGTATTTGATCCTTTTTCGCTTTGTTGTGTCTTCAGTGTTAGTTGGATAATACAAGTATGCCAAACACTGTTAGTTGGATAATACAAGTATTACTAGGGCAGTTCTCACCCGGACTCAGGGGAGTTATCCGGTTCCCCATTTTGATGTGAAAAAAAGGCAAATAAAAAGGATCCTCTTTTTTTTTTTTCTTTCTTTTTTTTTTTTTCTATTTTTAAGCAATAATTCGTATCGAACCCCGATTTTGATCAACTTAGATACAAACTGATCCTTCTTAATCCCAGAAAAACATTCTTTCCATCAAAAATTCTATTTAGGCTTGTTTTCATAAAAGTCTCACCATTTTTTAGGCCTTAAATTTTCATCCAGTTAACAAGAAG